TAAAAATCTCATGTCTTCATTTCCTTTCTCATGCAGCGAATGAGAAGGTGGAGGATATCAATAGCAGCCCCAGGAGCCAGTCGCAAATGGTGAGTGCATTTTAGCCTAACTCTTATATTGTTTTAAAGCACTGTTGCATGAGAAGAGTGTTTATCTGGTAAGACACAGATTTGGCAGCATTTAGGAGATGCCCTCATCAACAGCGACTGACAGCATTATAAACCTGTGGATATGAATATATTAACAGAGACAGTGTTGTCATGAGCAGCTCTCACTTCTATTTGGATTTAAGTGATCAAGAGCTAAGATAGAGTAATGGTTTCATATATTATTTGAGTGAGAAAAAGTTACATTGTATAAAGTACTCACACTTTGTTTGAGTTTGCAATCTTTGTTGGTTTTGTGCTGATTTTTAAATGCAGATTGACTAGTTAGCAGTAGTAGTAAAACTGATTCAACTAGTTCCCTTTATAATAAGCTTTGCTGTTGGTATGCAAAGTCTCACTTCTCCTGAACCCAGCCACAGATTTCTAGCAGTAAAATAAGAGTCATATATGATCAGAGCCCCTCATGACTCTTAATTGTTTTTACTAGTCAGAAAGATGGTGATGACCACTTTAACCGCAAACCGACCAAAAACAGTTTCATCTTGGACTTCTTTGCCATTTTGAAAAATCTGTATTTCTGGCTGCTCTGCGGCTGAGTGGTGTTGGTGGTGTCGTGTTTCCCCTCTGTTAATGAGATGACGGGCTGCATAACCGCTGATTTTCGTCACTGTGAGATAATTACCCCTCACTTTAACCAGAGTTGACTAAGTGTTTATGCAGTGTTGGTTTGCCCTTGGCATCTGCCCTCCTGCCATTAAAAGTGACTAAAGCAGTTTTAACTGCTCTGGCTTGCTTTCTTAATAAAACACTGGGGGCGACGAGTGTGTTTGGTCCCAACGGCGTGTGTCCTCTGTGTGTCAACCTTTGTCATAGGTGCACCACAGTGTGTCTTTGTGCTATTTTCTCATATGGATCAGTTTTAACAGATGGACTTCCACACGAGGCGAGAACATTTATTTGATAAAATCACTGTTTCTTCCCAAAAGCATCCCATTACTGGAATGAACCGAAACATATTTCTACGACTTGTTTCACACAGCAGTTTTCAGCTGTTCCATGGTGAGTCCAGCTGTGGTGAAAGCAGACTGTGAAAAAACCAGGAAGGAAGAAAACGTTAGGGTCATCAAGACCTTGCAGACCCTTAATGTGTGTGAGAGTTCACTGTGTTAAAACCTGCAAAAATAAACTCGTGCAAATGTATTTTTCTTGTCACATAAAATGATTCTAGTCCTGCCTGGAAACAGCTGAATCCAGACTCTTGCACTGGTCACTAAGGGCAAGCTTCTGCAGCAATGCAAGTATGTGGTTTGATACGCCAGCGTTCGCTCCGGGTGTTTGTGTGTGTTCGTGCAGTTTGCTCTTTGTCCCAGTCGCTTACTAAGCCCATTGATCCACCACCTGCTCTGGCTGCAGAGGGTCTGGCCAGCTTGGGAAAAAGAAGTTTGAGGAAGCACAGTTGCTTATAGAGTGAGTGAGAAGGGAAGGAAATATCTGTCACGCACATACAAACAACTCCACAACGATGCAGCCAACTAGCAGTGTTTGAAGGCTTTTACAATGGCAGATACTGTAAAATAGCAGCTTGTTAATTAGGATATGTGAAATCATGCTAGTCTTAAATTTAAATTACGTGTTAAGCACAAAGCACTCTAAGCACCAATGTGTGTAAAGTGAAACAGGAGTCTGTTAAGTTCACGCTAACCTTCATGGTCAGGTGGATGCAGCTACTATGATTTTGTCTTTTTCATGTACAGTTAAATTTTCAGTTCCCGTTTCAGATTGTAAAAGGCTCATAAAG